CACACACACACACACACGCACACACACCTAACAAGCACGCCCACACTGACACCTGCTAGAAAGAGACTACAAACGCAACAGCAAAAAAAAGCGCAGCATCGTGGAAGAGAGGAGCATGGGATTTGGAATCCACGAGAGCCAGAAACTGGATACTGGGTGTCCTGTGTTCCCTTGGACCGCTAACTCAACCTTTCTGAGCCTCACCTTGATCCTCTGTAAGGATAAGTAATATTCCCTCAAAGGGTTGTCGTCAGGATCAAATGACATGATATGTGAGGGGTGCCTGGCATATAAATGGCAGGCAGAATCATGATTCCGCTGCCCGCGTGCGCACACACGCACACGCACATGTGCACGCACGCTCGCCTCTTTCTGCACCTCTCCATAGCCTGATTCGCCCCTCTTTCCATTGCTGCACAGTCCCTAACTGATCTCTCCTTTCTGATCTCAAGGAACAGCCCGGAATGGTGCAGCTCAGATTCCCCTGGGGCCACATCCAGTCCTGTTCCTTCTCCTTCCTCTCCAACCCAAGCCACCTTTATCAGCCCAAACCACACAGTCCTTCCTGCCCCCATCCTTCCTGCTCCTGGGGGTCAGGAAACTGGTGACAGGTATGGCTAGGGCTTGGGGGTCACATGGGACCAACAGGATGAGAGGACAGACGTGAATAAAGGAAGGGAAGCCACAAAGGGCACAAATTCACAAAAATTCAAAACTGCCGAGCAGAGACTCCGGTAGTGAACTAAGGTCAGAGCCAGTGGTCTTCAGTTCCCGGTCAAATGTTAGAATCACCAGGAAGCTCTGAAAAAAATACCGATCCCTAAACTACCAGCATCACACCCCCAGCCCACGGACACTTTATGTAATTGGTCAGGGATGAGGCCTGGGTCATTCTAGGGGTCAGGACCTGGGGCTTCGTAGCTGGGTGGGGACTGAGCCCCGGCTCTGTCCCCACGCTGGCTCTGAGCCAGGACGAACCCCTCCCCCCTCTGAACCTGTTTTCCTCACTGGAGAGGAGGAGGCTGCTGACCCACCTGCTGCGGAGACAATGGTGGGTTTCAGGCTCCAGCACAGGGTCTGGCCCTGGTGGCGCTGGGGAGGAGAGGGGACCTTCCTGAGACCCAGCCAGTCCCCTCAGCTCTGGGCGGGGTCTGAGATGTCTTGCCACC